CCCCCCCCCCCCCCCAAGTTTCCCTCTTTCACATGCTACCAGATTGAGCTTATTTTTCGGATTTAGACTCCTGAAAAAGTAAAATAAATAAATGTAGGGAAGTCTGTAAGAACATTGCCTCGGAAAAGCTACTGGCAAGGGTTAGGACGCTGGACCTCTTTAGAAAGAGTTTGAGCATCTGGGTTCCAAAATATTGGGGTTTGTGCGAAATTTTCAAGCCATTCCTCTCCCCATTATCTTTCTTTTGTGACTAAGAGTATTATCGTTGTTCTTGTTATTAGAGAAGTAGAATAGGAAAAGAGGAGACTGGGACAGGATTGCTGCCCTATCAATTACACCAGTGTTTCTCAACCTTGGCAACTTTAAGATGGGTGGACTTCAACTCCCAGAATGCTGTGCTGGCTGGGGAATCTGGGAGTTGAAGTCCACCCATCTTAAAATTGCCACGGTTGAGAAACACTAAATTAAACCTCGTGAAATAAATGCTCCTGTTTGTTTCCTAATGAAAAGTGCCAGAAAATGCCAGTTCTCACCGGGCATCCTCAGGACCCATGAGAGATGCAGAGTCTGTATGCTAAGGCTCCCTCGCTCAATATCTCAATATTTTCGATCACAGCCTTTGCCCCGGCTGCCTGAGGATGATGGGAGCTGTGGTTGAGGATCCCTGGTGGGCTGGGGAAAGCTGGCACCGAGGAACGGGCACGGGGCCCAGAAACTACAACTCCATTTCCTCTGCCACTCCAGCAGCCTCCGTGCAGACCTGTCACAGCTTCTGGAACAGTGTGGGGTGGGTTGTCTTCTTCCCAGCTAGGAGACTGCCCCGTTTTGTATGGGGGAGAGTTAGCTGGGGGGGCAATGACATGAAAGTAGATGGGACCAGAAGTTCTGCTCTTCCTTCTGGACCTTCCAACCACTCCCCCCGCCGGCCATGTATTTCTTTGTGCAATGCACTGACCATCTCAGTCCCTGGCACAAGGGGGTGTACAGGTAGTCCTCGTTTAACGACCACAATTGGGACTGGCAACTCGGTTGTTAAGCAAAGCGATCGCCAAGTGAAACCGCAACTGTGCTTATGATCTTACTTCAGCTTTCCTTTGTTTTACAAACCTGCAAAGGTTGTAAATGCGAGGATGGGTCGTAAGGTTACTTTCTCATCACTGTCTTAACTGTAAACGGTCACTAAACGAGGCAGTCACTAAATGCGGACTACCTGTATTTCTGAGGAACTGGTGGGGGGGCATTGCAGACACCTGGACCATCAAGACAGCTGATGGCAAGCTCTTCCCCCCAAGGCAACCTTGCAGTCCATGACTGGTGACCTGGGCCTCATTCATCCCTCTGGGCAACTCCCCTGCTGAGAAGATGGTCCAACAACTGAGAGGTGTCTGCTGGGGGGGGAGGTATTTAAAAAAAGTCAAGATGACAACTGCACCCACACAATGGAAGTCCCATCTTTTTTACATGCACGCAGGTGCCATCTTGACTTTTTTGACCCCCGCTGCAGACACCTCTACCCAAAGCATTGCTTTCCGGATAAAGAATGCCCGGCAGGCCTCGATTGCTCTCCTGGTCTCTAGTCCTGCCTTCTCCCGCCTCATGGCTGCTCCCCCTCATCTTGTGGAAGGGGAAGGTTTGGGCGAAACCCTAACCCTAACCCTCTCCCACACCCCTTCATAATGCCACCTAACATTTCCTCCCTATTCAAGCACAGTATTTTCCTCCTCTGTGATATATGGCTGGACAGTCCATGGGCCCCAGCCAGCCCCCTTTTTGACCCCCTGAATGCCCCTACCCCCAGAATTCAATGGCAGACTGGCATAACACATCTTCTGCTTTTTTTTTTTAAGAAACAGAACCCCAACCTGTTTCCCCAAACAGACCGACAATTTTATCCCTTCCCCCTTCCACCGAAATCATCACCAAGCTCTTCAGAAGCCCCCTTCCACAAAAAAACCGTTTCTCTACTTCTCCAACCTAGATAATGGGCAACTCTTCAGGACTTCTAAGGCCTTAAACTCAGAGTGACCCATTTCTGGTGCAAGGAGTTCTCCCTGGTTGTTGACTTGGATCGTAAACTCTCCTTGGCTTAGAGTGGCCTTCTGCTCCTCTATGCTTGACCAGGGTCTTGATCTTGGCTTGATTTTAGCCAGGGCCTGCCCAGACAACGCATTCCACAGACTTCCTTCTCTTCCTTCAAGTTCAGGTGGGTTGAAACATGCCTTTCTGTTTCTCACACACAAATCCTGATGAACTACATGTCACGCTCAACCACCAAATGGCCACATTTCCCAACCAACCTTTTCCCAAACCTTCCGAGAAAGAAAGTATTCTCTGTTCTTCTCTCGTCCCTCCTTTTGACTGAATGAAGACTGCCTTCATCCATTTACCTTCTCATATCTGTATCTGTTGAATGTAGGAGCTGGTCACCCAAATTACCGTTCGCCAGCTTTCCAACCCTGAAGCTACTGTGCTGCCCCCTTCCCCACTCTGCCCCTCGCTCTTTTGACCTTCTGCTGTTGTGGTTATGATCGTCATTATTATCTCACCCTGTCTTTGCAAAATTGGTCCAGTATGTCATTACAACGGCACTCAGCATGACATCGTTCTTGGAAAAGTTGCAAGGAAAGAGGTCCGTGGCCCCAATCATGGGCACGCCGAAGACGTAGGGGATCTCATCCCCATGGGCTGCATCAGCCCACTCAGGACGAGTGTCCGTCTGGCAGTGATGATAGAAGGTATAGAAGTACACAGGCGACTGGTACTCGGCGTGGAGTTTAGCGGTAGCCACGGCAGGAGCTACCCACTGGTGGTCAGTGAAGAGAGCCAGGAGGGTTTTCCGGCGCATCTCACCGTTGTCTCGATCAGCCCAGTCAGTATACATGAACTTGATGGTCTCCCGCAAGATATCCTTGCCTTCGGGGTAGCCGTACAGGTTGTCCACAAAGTTGGAAATGGTGAAGTCAAAGTAGCTGGCTGAGATGCCATCTTCGTTCTCCATGGAGTCCTCCACAAACTTCAGCCCCTCTCCCTGGTTGACACCAATGAGGATGTCATAGTTGAGGAACTCGCCTTGCTGCATCAAGATCTCCGGGTCATCTGGGACCACGTCGCCATCCACCACGGGGCCAAACGCAATGTGGTAGCGTGCGGGCTGAATGTCTTGGTCCACCAGCTCCCGATAAGGCTTGCGCCGCAGACACTCCACCGTGCTGCTGGTGTCCATGTGATCGCAGCCCACCTTAGAGGCCAGCATCCGGGTGTATTTGAGTGGCTGGTAGTTGACTGACCAACTGGAAATGGCGGTGCCGCTCTGAGCAATAGCTTTCTGGAACAAACCTATGGGTGGGGAAGGAAAAGAGGAATCAGCGACCAAGGGGAGGGATGACGTCAGCCCGTCGAGGTAGCCCAGACAAAATCCATGGCATTGGTTACTAGCTCTATCTTTATTGTAAGGTGGCATTAACAGAATCTTGCAAGTCTGAAAGTATTTCTCCCCTCCCTTCCTTTTACTCTCTGGAAAACTAGGGAGGGTCCCTCCTGACATGCTTCCCACTCCCCTTTTCCTTCTGTGGGCTGAGACACCTTTTACACGCCGGCTGTCCGGTCTGCAGCTCTCTCTCCTGTCTCCCAAGGTCCTTCCCACCTATTATTACGGGCGGACACCTAAGATTAAGAGAGAACACTAGGAGTTGCTGTCCCTCCCAGCACATCTGAAGACGAGGATTGGGAAGCCGCTGGTCCTTTCAGCAGAACATGCCCACAGTTGAAACCGGACCTTCTGCATGTAAGCAGGTACTCAAACAGAACAGTGTCTGCATACGTGGGTATCCATGTGTGTGTGTGAAAAAGCTAAGATGGCACCACAATCACATGATAGAAGCCTTGTCTCTTGGTTTTCTTTATCCTCCCCCGCCCCCCAGTGCGGACACCCTGTTAACGTCCATACCAGCAACGTATCAATTAAATCATTAAATGCAGGAGATAAATCGAACAGTTCCCCAAATGTAGTGAACACTGACACTTCTTTACACCCCTCCAGAGCAGAGTTTCTCAACCTTGGCAACTTTAAGATGGGTGGACTTCAACTCCCCCAATTCCCCCCCCCCCCAACCTCGTCGGGGGGGGTGGGGGGGGTGGGGGG